CCCCAAAACCCCAAAACCCCAAAACCCCTTTAGTTAGTGTGAGAGGTGGAGTAGTGGATTAAGTTAAAAACTAAATTGAAATATAAAATAAGCAAATAAATTATTATTCCGAATGACATGCCAATAAGCCTTCGATGATCAGCCACAATAAAGTATCGAGGAATATTTCAACTAAGATTTAACTGTTTCAAATGGTTTGAGTCTAAAAAACTTTGAAATAATTAAATCTATCGGCTCTGGTGGCTTTGGTACAGTAAGTCTGGTAAGATAAATAGGAGTAAAGCAAGAGAGATATGTTGCGTTAAAGAAAATTTACATTGGCAAAAACCTAAGCGAACAGAAAAAAATGAGATTTTTACGAGAAACATACATCTTGCAGCATTTAAATCATCCAAGCATTATTAAAATGCATGAATATTTTATCGAGTGAGAAATTGATAAAAAGGATTAGAAGGATAATTCAACCACTCCCTCTTGGTATTTATGTATTCTGATGGATTACGCATCTAATGGTGATCTTAGTTAGTTAATTGAGAGACATAAATCTGAAAAACAGCCAATCAACGAAGAAGTGATTTGGAATATATGCAAGCAAGTAGCAATAGGTCTCCAGTATCTACATTAAAAGAAAATAATTCACAGAGATATTAAGCCTTAGAACATCCTTATTACAACTTACAACTAATATAAGATTGCGGATATGGGGATATCTAGAAACTTAAACTCCAACAACTCATAGCTGCATACTTCTAAAATTGGGACTCCATTATATCAGGCACCTGAGCTAATAAGAAAGCAGCCTTACGACTACAAAATAGACATGTGGGCTTTAGGTTGTCTTCTACATTATTTAGCAGCTTAGGAGCATCCATTTACAGTACCTCCATCTACTAGGGATGTCTCACCAATTAAATAGAACAATGGCATTGTGAACTCTAGGACTTAGCTTGAATATTAAATTTTGAATCACACACCCAAGAATATTCCTGAAATATACTCTACAAAGCTTTAACTTTTGATTTAGAAGTTACTCGATAAAAATAAGGATAACAGGCCTAACTCAGAGGAGGTTTTAAAATTGATTCCATCATCTGATTAACCTTTGTTTACACTAAATGGAAATTTAAGTTAGACCAATTTTTATCAAGCACCCCAAGTAAGCTAAAAAAGACACAGTGCTGCTAACAGATCAGCTAACGCTTCAAAGGTATAGGAAAGCTATCCTTTAAATTAAAAAACATAATAAGAAAATGTGAAAACCTTAAAAAGAGAGTAAATAGATGAGAAAGTTATAAAATCTAGCAATACAGATTAATAAGAAGAAATGGAACGAGGAGGAAATACTTTACAGGTTTCAGAAACAAAAGCAACAGATGCAGATTTTAACACTGCGCAGTTTACCTACTAGTAATACAATAATATAAAGTTAAATAACTTTAGCAAGACATTTTACAAAGCCTCAGAACAAATTTAGTAAACCCCTCATAAACAAAAAGCAAAAAATATGTTTGAAGGATCTAAGAAATAAATCAGTCATACACCAGGGAAAACCTATGGAAAGAACTCAGTGCTAAATAACATCATTGATGAAAAAGAGCAAATTCAGCCCAGTGATTTCAGCTTGAGAGCTAATAGAAGTCTAAGTAAATTTCCAATATAATCCTATAACAATTCCTATTTGAATCTTAACCCAATGAACAAATAAAGTTACAATGCTAATACTCTATGAAAACAAGTATTGGAATCACAAAATTAAATGAGCAAAAGCCCTGATATAACTTAAAACATCAATTTAAAGGATGAGATAAGATAGATTTATGATAGTCAAAGAGCAGCCTAAGAATAAGTCAGAAACTTCGCTAATTTGTCAACTCTCGATGATAGAAAAAAAGAATTTGAAAAATATTAGTTGAGGAATTCCTACCATCAATTAAATCAGAAGAAGGCTAGATATAATTCTAACTATCCAACTTAGAGGATCTATGCTCCTACAATTCCTCAAACAAATCCTCAGAAGAACATACCTATCACTGTTCAAAGCAAATCTAATTTCCCTTAAAATCAATCTCTCACCTAATTTTCTAACTACAACAATAAGCAGAATGTTCAGATCATAGGTGCTAATTATTAAAATAGCTTGAATAATCAAAACAATTCCCCAGACTTGAAAGCAACTTAAAATCAAGATTAAAAAGTAGCAGTTTCAATTTATGATCCTCTTCTTAGCAATGACAACTATGATCTCTAATAAACTATTCAAAATACCAATGAAGCAAAAGCTTCACATAAAACACCAAATATCAATTCTATTAAGGTTGACGGTCTTTCAAGTGGAGGTAAAAGTTATCAGTAAAATAATTAGTTTCATATTTCTTTGAAGCATCATCATAGAAAAGTTGTAGCAACTGGGACAGCATCAGTAGAGCGCTATAGTGTTAGTAGCTAGCAAAATCATCCTCTAGTGAGTAGTACACTCAAGTAAAATAGTATTTAGTAGTAATTTTTGGCAAGTCAACTGCCTAAGATCAATAAGAATGTGTTTTTGAAAACTAATTTTAGGAATTAGAGGTTAACTGTTAGAGACCTCGCGTAATGATATGGTTTATTTATTTCAATTATAATCACTAATTCTAACAAAATTCAGATGAGTGGGGTTTTGGGGTTTTGGGGTTTTGGGGTTTTGGGGTTTTGGGG